GTACGTTTTATCAAGTTCCATTATCTTGCCTTAAAAAAGCTCTTAAAGAAAGAAATGCAGATCGTTTTAACAAATCAGCTTGCCAATAGAACTAAGCATTTTGAACGAAAATTCCTTAATAATTTATTTTATGAGTAAGAAAATTAAAATTTCAGAATAGAGTTAAAACGCGGACGGAATAAACTGACATTTTACGAAGAACACGTCCGAAAATTTCTCCTGAAGCGAATAATTTTGACCTGGTCAGTTATTCTCCTGAGTAAAAGCGATGATTCGTGGTATCTCTCTGGATATCCAAATTTCTATTGGCATAGGACTAACGCCACTTTGATTTACATGACCCGAAAGGTTAGATGTGAATCAGCTACATGGCTAACTTTGCAACCAGGCCTTTGCAGGATTTGATTCGGCTTAGGTTAACATGTTGTAACTGTACGCACGCTGTATGGCATTATCTTGTCAATGCGACTGTTAAAATGCATGCTATAAAAATCGTATATACAAAATTTAAGATATTGCAGAGAACAACTTATTGGAAGTTACATAAAAAACCCCAAAAGATACAAATGGAGGCTACTTCTGACATTCCGCTTCTATTGGTGCGGTTTAAGTTGATAAAATAGGCACCCACGTCCCCCTGACATAACGACAAGAGTACGTAAATCAACCTCTAATATCCGTGTCCAAAAGTGATCACTTTTATGACATTTAGATAAGACAGAATTTGATGTGTGGGTAAAGGATCTTATGAAATAACAGACGAAGTTGACTTTACCCTTACATATCTTAAAGAATTTTTTCGATGACATAAAATGATTGTGATAAGTAATCTAAATATCAAATGGCAGACTTTATGATAGTCATAATTAGGCCATTAGTTGACTTTGAGCTTCACAAAGAGGAGGGACATCAAAGTTACAGAACGTCGAGAGGGGAGGGGACAGAAGAGTGATTCACAGATGCAAAAGAGGCAGACGCAAAGGTAGAGAAAAGGTAAGATGAGTAACGTGAAAGTAGTCGTATATGACATACAGTTGGGTCATAGTAGTTTGAAGTAAGAAGTCAACTACCGGTTTATAGACCTTTTTTGTCGTATGCGTATACGTTGCCAAGGGTGCACCACGTGGAGGTAAGTCTATCGCGAACCCCTCCCTTTAATATAAAATATGACTTATTCAGTTGCACTAAAGATCAACCACAGATAAAGTGTTGTCAATTATGGAGATTTTGATAATTGATTTTCATTCAGCTCTGAGTGTCTTAACGCTACAATGAAAAATGTTAGGTGGAAACAAGGTCAATGATTTAAATATGGACTTGATCGATTGAAAATACGAAGTCAAAATTCAACCGTCTACCAAACTATTTTAAAAATGTAAGGATAAATTCGAAATGTTCTTTCACAATACTCTATAAAAGAAATCGAGCCATAAAAAAACTTTATTTGCAAATCCCTTAAATGTTTTGCGTTAGACGTAAATCAAGTCTCCTTAAACCCATTCTCAACAGCTGTTGCGATCTACATGTTGGTACCCTTGGAGGGAAGAAGTTGACAGCGAAAAAATTATGCCAGTTAAACTCGAAATCATTATAATGGACCATAATACTCATTAGTTCAAATAAGCAGTTACAAGGATAGGCAAAGGCTTTTTCAATAACGGATAGAAAATATGAAGTGAAATGTAAATTCTGACCAAGGAAAATATTTGATTATTATTAATAAATGCATTTGCAGCTTGATTACGTCTGATTAACACTTGGTGTA